CATTACTACCTGCTACATGGATGGGTCATCAGCAACTAAACTGGTTAGTTCACAAAAATGACCTGTTTAAGGGTAGATGAACTTTCTTGTAAGGTCAGCAACCATCAAGCACAATGGGGTAGACTGAGCACTGAATCTATGTATACAGAGGGTTTCCTTGACTGAGGTCAATGGCCATGGTGGAGAGTTCTCCTAATGAAATAAACAGTCATGTGACTGTGACCAAGGGGAGCCTTCAATTTCAAGGATTGGCTGTGGTTTGATCGAAAGAGGAATGAGCTCCACATAAATGACTAGCTACCAGCATTTTTTTAAAAATCATTTCACCCCAAGCAAGGACCACTAAGATGCAAAGGGTTACTGAGCGTGAAAGAATATGAGAGAAAAAAAAAAAAACACTATTAAGGAAAGAGAACAATAAAAGAACAGGAATTAAGAACAAAGAATATCTGTCTATATCTCCGAGATGAGGTATTATGATTACTTACATTATTTACATTATTCGGACTGTTATCCTCATCTTTATTGTTGTGTTCACAACGTTTCGGCTTCTATATCTCTGAGATGAGGTATTATGATTACTTACATTATTCAGACTGTTATCCTCATCTTCATTGCCATATTCACAACGTCTTGACTTTTGTATGTTCCAGCCTTCTTCAGGTGATTGGAATTTCAAACCAAACCCTTTACTTTGTCCACCAGGGTAAACTGTTCTAGTTCCACATACCATGCCTCTTCTGGATGTCTCAGTTATTTCCTTTTAAAATGGCCCAGTAGATGAAGATGGTTAGATCCAGTGACTAGATCCAAAGTGTTGTAAGTTCTATACCAGGCCACAACAGTGGTGAACCAAAACTTAGAGAGTCGAGTTAAAGGAAAATAACTGAGACATCCAGAAGAGGCATGGCATGTAGAACTAGAACAATCTATCCTAGTGGATGAAATAAAGAGTACGGTTTGAAATTCCAATCACCTGAAGAAGGCCAGAGCGTACAACAGCCGAAACGTCGTGAATATGGCAATGAAGATGGGGATAACAGTCCAAATAATGCAAATAAGAACAAAGAAGATAAAAGATAATATAAGGTAATGATTGACATTACTTTCAACCCAAGTATGTGGAGGGAACAGGTCTGGTGTTCAAGTGACTATGACCACACCCAGTAATTTGACTGATGTTCTCTTCCTTGTTAAGATGAGCATAACATTCCAGCCATTTTGTCTCCTCGCCTTCTTTGTCGATCTGAGTAATCATAATGGAATTTCAAAGAAGAAAAACTGCATGGCACATCGTCTGAAACGTTGCGATAATAACGACAAAGAAGAGCATGTTAGTCCAAATGTAAATAATGATAATGCGTCATTCCAGAAATACAAACTGGAAAATATATATTTTCTTTTAATTTATTTATGTTAAAAACTATAAATTATCAAGAAACGTAACTCTAAAAACTTGTATGAAATCAAATACGATTGATTATCTCCCTTGCCATTGCAAGATTTCCCAACAGAGTTCGGGGTCTGTAATTGGATTGTTTAAATTTTTTTTTAGTGACACTGAATGCTTTTCTAGCTCAGCATTTATTTTATAATTTTATATTTTCCAAAAAAGTTGGGGGAAGGGGTGTAAAAAAAAGAGGTTGATAAATTAAAAGAAAAGTTTTAGATAAAGTGAGACAATGGGGGAGATATGAAGAGAGAGAGAAGAGAAAAAGGGGAGATATGAAGAGAGAGAGAAGAGAAAAAGGGGAGATATGAAGAGAGAGAGAAGAGAAAAAGGGGAGATATGAAGAGAGAAGAGAAAAAGGGGAGATATGAAGAGAGAAGAGAAAAAGGGGAGATATGAAGAGAGAAGAGAAAAAGGGGAGATATGAAGAGAGAAGAGAAAAAGGGGAGATATGAAGAGAGAAGAGAAAAGGAGATATGAAGAGAGAAGAGAAAAAAGGAGATATGAAGAGAGAGAAAGGGGAGATATGAAGAGAGAGAGAGGGAGAAAAGGGAAGAGAGAGAGAGAGAGAAGAAAAAAAGGGGAGATAAGAAGAGAGAGAGAGAGAGAGAAAAGGGAGATATGAAGAGAGAGAGAAGAGAAAAAGGGGAGATATGAAGAGAGAGAGAGAAGAGAAAAAGGGGAGATATGAAGAGAGAGAGAGAAGAGAAAAAGGGGAGATATGAAGAGAGAGAGAGAAGAGAAAAAGGGGAGATATGAAGAGAGAGAGAGAGAAAAAAGGGGAGATATGGAAGAGAGAGAGAGAAGAGAAAAAGGGGGAGATATGGAAGAGAGAGAGAGAAAAAAGGAGATAAAAGAGAGAGAGAGAAGAGAAAAAGGGGAGATATGAAGAGAGAGAGAGAAGAGAAAAAGGGGAGATATGAAGAGAGAGAGAGAAGAGAAAAAGGGGAGATATGAAGAGAGAGAGAGAAGAGAAAAAAGGAGATAAGAAGAGAGAGAGAAGAGAAAAGGGGAGATAAGAGAGAGAGAGAGAAGAGAAAAGGGAGATATGAAGAGAGAGAGAGAAGAGAAAAAGGGGAGATATGAAGAGAGAGAGAGAAGAGAAAAAGGGGAGATATGAAGAGAGAGAGAAGAGAAAAAGGGGAGATATGAAGAGAGAGAGAAGAGAAAAAGGGGAGATATGAAGAGAGAGAGAAGAGAAAAAGGGGAGATATGAAGAGAGAGAGAGAAAAAGGAGATAAAGAAGAGAGAGAAGAGAAAAAAGGGAGATATGAAGAGAGAGAGAAGAGAAAAGGGAGATATGAAGAGAGAGAGAGAAAAAGGGGAGATATGAAGAGAGAGAGAGAAGAGAAAAGGGGAAAAGAGAGAGAGATATGAAGAGAGAGAGAAAGAAAAGGGGAGATATGAAGAGAGAGAGAAGAGAAAAAGGGGAGATATGAAGAGAGAGAAGAGAAAAAGGGGAGATATGAAGAGAGAGAGAAGAGAAAAAGGGGAGATATGAAGAGAGAGAGGAGAAAAAGGGGAGATATGAAGAGAGAGAGGAGAAAAAGGGGAGATATGAAGAGAGAGAGGAGAAAAAGGGGAGATATGAAGAGAGAGGGAGAAAAAGGGGAGATATGAAAACTGAGGAGAAAAAGGGGAGATATGAAAACAGGAGAAAAAGGGGAGATATGAAGGGAAAAAAAAGAGAGTAATAATGTGAGTGACAAAAAGTGAGAATAGGGGAAAGAAAATGTGGAGAAGAAAATCATACAAACCTTGGTCAATTTTTTGATGGCGTAATCTGTCGCTTTTAATCTTCCATAATAAACAGTTCCAAAAGCACCCGAGCCAAGAATTCTATCTTCAGAAAATCCATTGGTTGCACACGAGATTTCTTTGTATGTGAAGAGGCAGCCAAGCTCAAGAAAATGATTCAGGGAGCTGAGGTTTTTAGACTGAGGCAGAGATTTTGCAGCTGTCGGCGCTTCTATAAAGCCCATTTTTGGAGCCTGGACTGCATCTTTGTGGTTGGTCACTTTGTTCACATTAATCGAATCATTCTGATTGTGACTGTCTGTGTTTATAGGTTTGTGGAAAAGAGGTTGCTCAGGGTGTGCTGGCAAATGAGAATGATCTTTTGGCTGTAAAAGATTCTGTTCACTTGGACGAGGTAAACCTAATAAAAATAAGAGACAGATTTCATCAGAATTTTGTCAAATTGGGATCGTTTAAAGATTTTCTTTATGTACAAAATTTTATTATTGTTATTAAAACAAACATACTTAATGGAAGAAAGAAAGAAAAAATATTATAGCTAATGTTAATGATCGTTCAAAAAAGAAAGAGGTAAAAAAAAAAAAATAATTAAAACAACAGACAGTTAACTGGTCTTCCTTCTGTTCTCTTCAGTGTTCAATCAAGGGAAATTTAAAGAAATGTGTGCCATGACTAAAAGAGGTGAAATTTTCAAATGAGCATAAGATATACACACACATTATACATCTCCAAATAAATTTGATTAAAAAGGACTAATTTTCAAACAAACTGTTGAGTACTGTGTTTAAAATTGCAGATAAACTGTTCAAGGTTATACAAACTTCGGAAAATTTATCCACAATTTTGAATACTATATAAATGCATTACAAATCATTTATCATATAAATCCATGGCCAATATAAATACATTGCAAATGATTTTATTATATAAATGCATTGCAAATGTGTTTACGATATGAATGCAATGCAAATGATTTTGCTACGTGAATACATTGCAAATGATTTGATAATAAAATCCATAGTCAATTAATATATGCATTGCAACTGATTTGACTATATAAATGTGCTGCAAATGATGGCTAATTAATATGTGTAAATGATTTTATTACAGAATTGTGATGTAAATGAATTTCTAATCTAAATGCTCTGAAATGATTATATATTATACTCGGTTCTTTTCACTAACCAGCTTTATTAAAAAAACAAAAAAAAAAACAAACTTCTAATCATTTGCTATTGTCATAACAAAGACACAGATGCCTGGTGTTGATAGTGCAAGAGTGATAACTAATAGATTGGGAAGGCTGAATATTTGAATATACGCAGTATAAATAGATTGTAATGCATTATGAATCATTTTACTAGTAGACATCTATGCAAACTGTGACATCACATTTATTTGAACAAAAACATCAAAACTTTAATTCATTCCAACAATTACGTATGGAATATACATGTGGGGGTCTCATTCGGTCATTGATTCATCAGCAACTCAATTCAAAGGTATCATTCTATCAACATTCTTTGCGACTCAGTAACAGTGAAGAGTTTTTCACATGTATTCTTTCCACTATGGCACATTTTTGTTTGTGATGGCCTCTTTCTGCAGAAGTTTTGGACGCAAGACTTGGGAACCCATTGGTGAAGAATGAATGGCCTGATGAGAACAGTGACCACACCTCAGCCAAATACTCTCATACATGTGTGCAGGGTGCGATGGATAAATTGTCGTCTAAATGATGCAAAAATGAAAACACTATCTCATTTTAACAGATCTACGGGGGTGCGATGGATAAATTGTCGTGTAAATGACACCAAAATGAAAATAAATCTGGCATCTCATTTTAACAGAGCTACGGGGGTGCGATGGATAAATTGTCGTGCAAATGAAAATAACACTGCCATCTCATTTTAATAGATATATTTACCAAAATTACACAAAAATATCTTGAAATACCAATGTAGCCCTGAGTGAATCCTGGTCAACAACAACAAAAAAAATGTAGCCTTGGGTCCCATGTTGGTCTTCAAGTTCCTTCCAACCACCATGTTTACCATCTAACTTGTGAACACATTGCTGATTGGTTGCTGGTATTGTATGGATGAGGACGGTTCTACTCGATCTCGCTGGCATTTGTCTCCTTCATAATCTTGCCACGGTGTGTTTTTGGTCTCAGAGAGTGAGAAAATTGCTGATGAAGTAAACGGAAGTGAAGGACAGTTTGATGATGAGAAACTACACACACACACACACACGCACACAAAAAGAATTCTTTGAAATAAAAAATTAACTTTTTAATTTTTAACTCTTCCCAAAATGACACAGAAATCCCCTTTTGAAGTTTGCAGCTTGTGTTAGTAGCAACTTAAATTTCTAAGTTCGGGTCTTCAGGGCTGGCACAAGGTCTTGGTCAGGAGGTCTCAGCGAAGAATGTGGATACCAGTAGCAGTAATGTAGGGACTCTTCAAGTTGTTGAAACCTCCATCTTATAGAGGTGGGGTTGACCAGGGTTTGGGTTTGGTTATATGCCACCCTTAGCATCAACCTTTTTCTAAAATTCCATATTTTCAAACCATGTTTATTTGAGCGATTTTCCAAATTTAGTGGTTGTCCAGCACCCTTTTGAGAGTAGTCAGCGTAATCAAGCCATCCCTTAATTCCAAGTCGCTTCAAGTCTCATCTTCCACCATTGCTCCATATAGGTGATGCTAATCTCTTTCTTCTCCCACTTTGTCAGCATCTAACCTTAGCCCACTCCAAGAGCCAGCACACTGTCCCTATGACGAATCCAAACTTTTAGAATGCATAGTCATTAATCTTTCTTTATCAGCTTGTCTTACACTGTGATTTTTAGGTGATTTTTCAATCAACCAGGCCTGTGGTCACTCCAAGGCTAGTAATTAATTTTTCTTTATCACTTGTATCCAAAGGGATCCGAAATAATGTTGGCCATAAAAATGTTGATGACAGTCAAAAAAATTAAAATTATCTTTGACGCTAATCTCTATTTGTGTAGGGATATTTTTCTTCTGGGTGGCCAATTCAAACCAAATACTTTTCCTGGCCCTTTGTCCAGAACATCATCCATTATCACATTATTGTCTTTATCGCCATATTTATTACAATGTTTCGGTCGTTGTATGCTCTAGCCTTCTTCAGGTGGTTGGAATGTTGAACTGAACCCTTTATTTCGCTCACTGGGGTAGACACATGGCTGAGTGGTAAAGGCATTAGTTAGATCCAGTGACAGGACCCAAAGAGTGTGAGTTCAATACCCGGCTAAGGCAGTGGAGATCTTTCAGAGGTGAATTAACAGGAGATAACTGATAACTGACATCCATTAAACATGGCACGTGTTGAGTCTGAGACCTTGTAGGAAGATGAATGGAGGCAGAACGTCACCATCATTAGTGATCACTCAAAACACCATGATGTTGACTGGATATTTGGTTTTCGTCACTCTCAGTACATCTTTTGGGGACACAGCAAAAGCCAACGGTTGTTATGTGTGTTCATCATCTTATCAAGGCAGAAATTTTTCTCGTCTGAGAAAAATCAAAGCATGTTCGATTGGAGGGGATGCTCGAGTTTTTTTCAAAAGCTTTATTCCTCTTGTCCTTCATGGGTTAGCCTAAAAATTGACCCTTTCTCAACTTGTATGAGAAATACTGAACGTCTTCATACACTACATGCCTGATAAGAAACTCAGACATTCCTGCGTCTCTGACTGATTTGGAGAGATTGTTATCAGAATGATCAGAGTGAATTTTCCGAGCTGCTGTACCTTCGTAATCACCATTAGACTCATCCAACTCTTTCTGAATCCACTGCATTGTCCTCAGATTGACACCCAAACACTATGAAATGTTTGTATTGAATGCCAAACAGTACAGCATGCCATTTACAAATTTCTAGCAGAGTGAATTGCGTCATGGTGCACTTTTTCACCAACTGACCCTGCTATACTGTGCAGTTGACAAAAATCAAAAACAATGCACTTGTGCAAAATTAAAAATATAAAATGGAACAATTTACCCATCGCACTTTGAAGTAACAAAAGGAATACTAAAAGCATATATAGAATTTATATATAGAATGACAGAAGTGAATGAGATTCTTTTATGCTGGAAATTTGATCAGTTCTGAAATCAGTTTATTTGAAATCATTATTACCCTTGTAAAATGCGACATTCACATTTTCATTTTTGATTCTATGACAATATTTCTGACATTAAAGTCAAAATGATATATTAATTCATAAAATCATTGATTTGTCCTGTTGAAGAGAACTGGTATAGGAATAGTAACTAATGAAGCACTTACAATTTGGGTTAAGACGCTGGAGGCTCTCACAGGCTGATGTTGAGTAATCTCTCATTGAAAAATATGAGGCGTTTTGGTTAGAAAAGTCATTGAATGACTGCTCCTTAATTGGCATGTTTTGAGATTTTACTGCAATGGAGAGAAAAAAGTTCTTAGAATTAATATAAAAAAAAGTTTTAAAAAAAGCAAAAAAAAAAACCAAAAAACATGGCTGTCCAGTGTCAGAGAATGTATATTTGAAATGTTGAAACACCGGAGAATAATAGTTTGTTATTTTTTCTTAATGGCAGCATAAAACAAATGTGGTAAGCAATCATCCTTTTCAGGGTATTTTTAGCACTAAAAATACCTGCAGGAGAAGTCTAAATAGGTTCCAAAATTATGCACTTTTGGGGAATTTTGACTCTTCACTGAAGGCCAGGGCTTTGAGAGTTAAACTTGTTTTTTAATTAGAAACGAGAAAGTTTTGTATTAATCTTCCTCTTAAGTGAAAATAACATGAATACAGTTCCATAATAGAAAATCATTCCAGGAGCCTCCAAAATCAATAATGTCTGCTTGTCTCTATTGTCTTTTTGGGTGCTGGATTCATTTCAGTTGCCATGAAAATATTTGTAGAAAAGACAGAGGGAAGCAATGTCACATGCGTGAGAAAGTAACTGAAGTTGAGATGCCAGGTCAGGATTGATTACATTGCAGAACCTTCATCGGATTTTGTCAAGAACCTCAAGATGAACAGGGGCATCAGACCAGATATATCAACAGTATACAATGCACAAATGAATGGTAGATTTGTAGATGTGTAAGATGAACTGACAAGAAAACCTTCTGACACAACACAGTGATCCAACTTTTCTTGCAGTAATTTCTGACATAACTTTCCTTGTATTTATCCAAAAATCATGATCTAGACTTCTGTTCATGTTCTGGGATGCTAGATCAATTTTGGCACTGATGCTCCCACAAAGTAGTCTAAATAGGTTAAGTTCAAAATTATGCTCTTTTGAAGAATTTTTGCTCTTCACTGCAGACTAGGGTTTCAAAACCCAGACTCCTCTTTTTTAATTAGAAATGTTAAAAATTTTGTATTAATCTTCCTCTTAAATGAAAATAACATTAATACACTTCCATAATTGGACCAAACAGAAAATCATTCTAGGAGCCCCCAAAAGCCAAAAATGTTGGCACGGCTCTATTGTGCGAGTTCATTGTGAACTCAAATTTGGTGATAAGTTTATCTTTTCATATAAATGAACAATATCCTCTTTAACCTTTACCATGATAATTTCTTTCTAGAGTTGTCTCCCCTGCCACTGCATTTGTTTTGAGGGTATAAAAACATGAACACCTATTTTAAAATTGTTATAACTTTCTTTGTATTGTGCATATAGATGTTAATTTTTGTACACCAATAAAAGAATGAATGAGTAATATTTTGATGTAATGCATTACGTTTTGCATGCAGGTTTTAACATTGAAAACAAAATTGAAATGCAAAATAAAAAAAAAACAAAAAAAAAACAAATATATCAAAAATACATAAAAAATTCAACGTACTTAACTTTTATTACTCCTTATGGAGTTCTGGGATGCAATAAGAAGCAAAATCGCTAAGGCGGCTTTCATTTCATCAAAAACTGACATGTTTCCTCGTGTTTGCATATGAGAAGACACTCGCATTTATTTGTTCTTTCTTTCACCTGACTCATATTTGTCTTGTTGACATGTTCTCATTAATGAATAAAGTTACTCCACAAGGAGTAATAAAAGTTAAAGTACGTTGAATTATTTTTTACGGCAAAAAGATTTTTTTTTTTTTGAAAACTGAAACAAATAGATTTCAGACGTCATGTTGTATTTCCTTTTTTTTTTTTCATTTCTTTTGTAAACAAATATATTTCATATTTATTTCCTAAAACTAGTCAATTAAATGTTTTTATATTTTTCCCTTATATTGGCATAAATGTTGATAAAATTTAATTTTATTAATAGATGAAAGTCTTTTTCAATAGCATTTCTTTCGATATGGTCATTGATAGTGATAGTGATTTAAAAAAAAAAAAAAAAAAACGATTTCAGTTTCGTAAAAAAATTCAATACGGTTTCGCCGGTATGAAGATGAAACAGAAAAAAGTCAGTTTTTCAGTTAAACCGCCCATCTCTATTCTCATTAATGAATAAATTTATTATTTCATCGTTTATAAACAGACAAATTAATTCACCTTCATAAAGGCTATCAGGTATATCGATGATCGCCAGTAGCTTCCATAAAATTAGTCAGGCATGGATGATAGTAGCCACTAATAGTCATCATCGCTTTCCTCCATGTCACTTGTGTGATAATCATCTTCGACTACTTCACTGTCAATATCCACTTGAGTAAAGCTTTCAAAATCATCATTGGAGTCCTAATCAAAGAAAAACTCCTGAATAAAGGTTTTGTTGGATATTGATGCAGCCATTTTTGTTTACAAAAAATTGCGAAAAAATTAACATGGGTTTAATCAGTGTTACACCTCATGTAGAGTCTAGAAGAATTCAAAATGGCATTGGAAAACAGAAGTTTAACCTTCTTCCAAAGCAGTAGTAGGTGATTTCCAGCTTAAAATACTGGAAATAACAGTTGACAAGTGTTTACTTATAGCAACAGTTTCAAGGCGACAGAATGTGCCAAGAGCAGCAAAGGGAGAGAATTCCACGATGACAATTTTCACCTGCAGACTGGTAAACGTTCAATTTGTCAGGCCAGTTTCTTATTGGTTGGTCAAAATATGATTTTATGGCCTAACGATTCTGAATATACATCTATTTTTAAGATATGGTGAAATTTTGGTCACCTTATTATTTATTTATTTTTATTTATTTTTCTATCACTACATTTTCTCAAATAACAATTTAAATCTGCAAAATGTAAGAAGATTGTTCTCTGGAAGATATCTAAAATGTATCCAGTTCCTTTCATATGTTAAATTGACCATTACTCACTTTTGGCACCAAATATCAGTTTTTGGCATAACTTTCCTTGTATTTATCAGAAAATCATGATCTAGACATCTGTTCATATTTTAGGGTGCCAGATCCATTTTTGCACTGATCCTCCCACCAAGATGTCTCAATGTGTTAAATGAAACATCTGAGCTCTTTCAGAGAATTTTGACTCTTCACTGTAGACCAAAGTTTCTAAATCTAAACTCCTGTTTTTTTTTTTTTATTAGAAATATAGAAGATTTGTTTTAATCTTACTCTTAAATACAAATAACATTAATACAGTTTGATAATTAGGCTGAAAATTACTCAGTGGGATCAAAAACTACAAATGTCCACTTGGTTTTATTGTAGGAGTTCACTGTGTGTTTGGAAATATGAAATCAAATTTGGTGAAAAGGCATTTAAAATCCCTCCAAAGAAGTCTAATTGGATTAAGTTCCAAATTATGCACTTTTAGGGAATTTTGACTCTTCACTGCAGACCAAAGTTTCTCGACCTAAACTCCTGTTTTTTTTTTTATTAGAAATATGGACATATAAATGAACAATAGCCTCTTTAAATTTTTCAGGACTGTTTCTTATTGGTTGGTCAAAATACAACTTTATGGCCTAATGATTCTGAATATACATCTATTTTTAAGAGAGGGTGAAATTTTGGTCACCTTGTTATTATTTGTTTATTTATTTTTCTATCACTACAAGCTTCTCCAAACCTAAGCAATGCTGGCACTTGCAAGAATACTTGATACCAATTTACTCCAGTGTTGATTGAGGACAATACCAATCTTACTAAATGATTTGGAGTTATTTTTTCTTATTTGTAGTATAAAAAACCATAAATGGCCAACTTCAAAATTTTAATTGCATTTGGCTTTCAAAAGTTGTGTAATCAAGCAACCATCAAAATATACTTTTCAAAATAAAAACCTTTGGAAAGATTCAAATTTCCTAATAAGCAAGATTTTATTCAAAAGAACATAATTCATATAAGCTATGACCTTAATTCCAACAGTTCAGACCTTCATAGCTAGGAGCTGCGACTTCAACCTGTAGTAACTTCAATACTAATGGCCTTGTGCCATACTAAGCTTAATAAGTATCAATTCATAATTTCACAAAAAATTCTTATTGTAGAGGATAATTTTCAGAGTTATGACTAACAATATTATATCACAGCCAAATACTTCTATAGAGAGCACAATGTTTTGTCGGTGCTCAATAATAATGGCCTTGTACCATATTATGCTCGAAAAATTTCAATTGGTAATAGCTGAAAATTTGATTTCACAACAAAATTTTTTATTGTTGATCTGCTTTACCATGAAGCAGTGGTTAGCAAATTAACATCACAGTTAATTATTTTAATAGTTGCCCTATACCTGTAGCCTTGTGCCAGACTAAGGTGATTCTTGTCAAGGTTATCTATTTTTCTGTTGTTCATTATTGTAGAGCTCAGATCAATAAATATCGATGAATAAGTAGCATTGGTTATAAAAAGAAAAAAAATTTTCATATGAATTTACTGTTTTACGGCTGTAATTGACTTGGGAAAATATGCAGGTTTAAAAAAGTTGCCCTATACCTGTAGCCTTGTGCCAGACTAAGGTGATTCTTGTCAAGGTTATCTATTTTTCTGTTGTTCATTATTGTAGAGCACAGATCAATAAATATCGATGAATAAGTAGCATTGGTTATAAAAAGAAAAAAAATTTTCATATGAATTTACTGTTTTATGGCTGTAATTGATTTGGGAAAATATGCAGGTTTAAAAAAAAACAAAACAAAAAGAAACTACTTACAAAATTGTTCAATGATGGCCAATTCTGCAAGTCTGTCAATCTTATGCAGGACACTGCACAAGTCATAAATAGTAGCTTCCCGATAAGACCATCTGGTGATAATCTCCTGTGTGGGGCTTTTACCCTGGTTACACATGAATATCAACTTTTGCCGATCTGCCCACGTGTAACCAATTTCAGAGCCTTATAAAATATGAGGTTTTAAAAAAAAAAAAAAAAAAAAAAAAAGGAAAGTAAATATAAAAGGAATTAATTACATAGACACATAGAAAGTTCAGGTATTAAATGAAATGATACAATTTTATATGAAAAGGACATTAATATTTGAATCGGGAGTGAATGTACCAGTCTGAGTTGGGTCAATTCTAGTTTCTGCTTGATAAAGCAGTACACTACACATACGTGTGTGTGTGTGTTATATATATATATATATATATAGGTAAAAAAATGAAATTGTTAGAAAGATTCTGTACAAAAACTTGTTGTATAGAATAAATTGGGAGGGAAAAAAGCCACCTAATATTTATATTGATATTTATTTATTTATAAGTATTTTTACATACAAAAATTAAAACTTTGTTACTTACAATTGGATTTCAGTGATTTTTTTTTTTTTTGAGAAAAATAATTTATTTTATTTTATTTTTTACTTTAACTGGTTTTGCTTAGCTTTTCAAAATGTTTTTAATTGTGTGTATCTCTACGTGTTGATGCTTGTTTTGAACAAATGAAAAAAGATTTTAAAAATGAAATACTCAAGGGGCGTAAATGGATATGACATTTACGATAAGGGGAATTTGGTAGAATCTATTTATGCAATGAATTAAGTATTGTTTTGAACTTGTTGATGAAACATTTCCTTATTAATCCGCTTTTGTTCAGTGGTTCTGTCATCACACTGGTAGAATGTGAAGATACCAAAATTTGGCAGATTTTGTCTGCCACATTCCTCTATATGTTGGCTAAGGGGAATTTTTCTGGTGTGGGGGACCCTAATCTGTTGGTGATGAACTGTCATCTTTTGTCAGAGTGACAGTCCAGTTTGGCCAATGTGTGTGTTAGATAATTTAGATGTATCATGTCTATTTATTTTAATCCTTTCAAGTACATGGATTAATTTCTGTAGAAAATTGATCAAGAAAAATTCCAAAATTTTCTTTCAAATAATTTTTATTTTTCCAAGTAATTTCAATCTCTTCCAAGATCATCTTCAGGGGTTGAGTGTCTGGATATGTGTGCATGAAGACCATAAAATTCAAAATATTTACCTGTTATTCAAGGGAGGTAACTTAATGTGATATTTTTGGGAGTGTATTTTTGTACATGATTACTGTAAGGTTCAAAATATTTATCCATTATGCAAAGAAGGTAATTATGATTTTTTTAAAAATATTTTTATGGATTTACAAGATTTTTTTAAATAGTAGTAATTTTAACAATTCTAATTTAAAATTTTTAAGAACTTTATTGTTATACTCATAGTTGATTATATTTATTTTGGTCACAATTCTCTTATATAAAAAGCTTTAGCAATTTTTAGTTTTTGCTTATTATTATTATCTTGGTGGAGTACTTAGGGCTCCTGATTTTCCATTTTAAATCTTCCTTGATTTCTTCTGTTAGATTTCTTCTGTTAGATTTTTACTTTTGGGAAATTTTCATTTTTTTTCATTTTTATAGTTTTTTGTGAGAAACTTGCAATACATTATACTATAAAACTGAAAACAAAAACATAATTCAAAGTTTTATTGCATATAAAAAAAATAGCAAATATCTACAAATCTTTTTTAAAATGTTAAAATCCAAGTCCAAAAATAAATTATATGTAAAAATAAAAAAAAAATGTAATATGACTAGACAATAAAACAATGGAATATTACAGTGCATCTTTGAGATAAAACTTTTAATCAGAGCTTCCTTCTTTAATAACACACTCAAAACACATTTAAATTGTTTTTGTTTTCTTAAGTAAAAGGATTTAGATTTATTTATAATTATTGATTCATAATATAGAAATCACAGTTAAAGTATCAACAGCAAATAACTTGAATCTCAACAATAAATATCTGAATAAAATCAAACATTTTGACTAAAATCTTATAAAACAGTAATTAAACTGAAGTAATGAATATGCATACACCTGGGTTCCCCATCACAGTAATATGATTGGCTGGTGTCAGCCATAAATACAGACTGATGTGGAGGTACATAACGACGCCTACCACTACGACGAGGACCAGTCCATTACGGTTACCTGTTAGATTGTCCTACTCAGTTACAGTAGTCCAAAACCACTTTGCTACTTTGAACAAATATATGCTTTTGCTACTTCAAACAAATATATCCCGTTCTGGGGCATATCATTAACTGAATCTTTGTAACAAAATATCAAAAAACAAATTAGACATATTAATTCAAAATTTAAATAAAAAAACTTATCCGAAGTTGAAATACAGATCAAATTTAAAATTGCTAATTTCTTAATTTGGGAAATATCTAATCTTCAATCTCTTTCATGTTATTGAGTAAATGTTTATACTGAGAAAATGAAAGTTTGGCGTCTATGTGACTTTATTGGCAATCTGTTCCAAAAGAGGAAATCCGCTCTTATTTGCATTCCAAAATGAGGGGATATTAAAAGGATTTGGTAAATCATCTTTGGTAATTCACATACATTAGAAATTCTTCAAGAACATCAGTAGAAGGACATTGCAAGTCCTCGATGGCTACAAAACTGTCTAAATCATAGCCTATACAGGGTAGCTGTCTAGGATAAAACAGGTGAGTTGCTTTGTAAAAGTTATACACAGGGTGGGTATCCAGGTATTTATTCAGTTTCGAAAAAGATGTGCTGAAAAAAATCTTGGAAATTTGAGAACTCTCTCCCTCTCTGTATCTAGTTCAGACAAAAGACAATCAGGCCAAATGTTGAGTTTGATCTACCAGTATGCAAATACTATTTTACATCCTCCATCATGTTATTTACGACACGTGCAAGCAGAGACTTAGCTTTGACAAACTTAGAAGAAACTGTTATTAAATGAGTGTTGTTCTCATTTATAAAATTCAGATTTAGGCGCAAATTATGGTAAGAGGCATGATGTAATCAACTATCATCATCTACTAATTCTAGAATTCTATCTACTGCAAGGCCATGGCTCTTTTCTTGCCTAAAGATTCCTTCATAAAACTGTACAAAGGATGAGTGATATTTGGCCACATTAAATCAGGAATCCCATCTGGTTGCCACTGGTACAGGGGGTAGCTTCACTTGTTCATTAGGCAAGGAACCTTCAAGCCATTTTAAGTATTGCTTTTTCTGACTAGGCTTTTTAAAAAAGGCTGACTTGATGAAAGTAGTGACGTTATCAAATGCTGGCTAGTGTGAAAATACTTTCCCAAGATTTAAAATATGTTTGCTTGTTTGTTTTGTTTTACGGCATATCAACTTCAATGGGTTATTTAATGCTGACAAAATTTTTATTGCTGATTTTTTTTTCTCCAAAAATGTATTGCTGGTAATTTTTTTTTTATATGAAGTATTTCTGGTATTAATATAGGTACCTCCACACGCTTAAAAAAAAAAAAAAAAAAAAAAGAGCATGAAAAAGACGCCAAACTTGACGAAAACAAAATTCTATCGTCTAAATATTTGTTATTATTAAGAGGAAAGATCAAAGTATTTTCGGGCTATTTTTTTACATTTTTTAATCGTTCCTAGCACGTCCAAAATTTTCATTAAGAATCTTGTTTTTTTTTTTGAGTCAGCAAAATTGACAGATAATCGATCATGGCAACCATTTTTTTTCCATTTTATAAAAACTAAAATGAAAATCTCAATTTGAAAATTCTTTTAAAAATCAATTATCATTTTTTCAAAACTTATTTTGAGAAAATCAGAAATTATAATGTCTATTTAAAATATTTTGAACCAAGCATAATTTAGCTTCTGCACCAAAAAGATGTAATTTGAAAATAAAACAAAGCAGGTCATAAACCTTTGCTTCACTTGACAGGTGATGAATGACATATTGACAGATTACGTGAGGATAATTTGCTCTACGGAAAGAGAAAAGTGAAATTATTTACATTTAAGTGAACAAATTATTTACCTCGTTTTATTTTTAAGAAAAACTTTTCGCGCTCTAATTTTTTTTTTTTGTACTTAGCTTTCACCTTTACGTTTATGATGATTTATAGAAAATATAAAGAAATTAAAATAAGACTTAAGAGTGAGATTAAATTTCATAAGGTATCTAATTAATTTATAGGTACCTTTCTTATGAAATTTTATCAGAAGTGTACATAAAATACTATAATTTTATGTACATTTATTACATTTTACTGTGTTATTTGTATTTCCATTCATTTTATTATTAATTTTGATGTTTCATTTATGGAAAAAATGCCATAACTGTGATTAATATAAAAATAAGATCATATAAATTTCATAAGATGATACTGATACTTGTAGGTACCCTTCTCAGTTGAAATTGAAAAATCACATTAACTTCTCCACATGTGTTTCGCAAAAGTAAAGGCCTTAACAGCGGAGAACAATGCTTAACTCAAATAACGCAACTTAATTGTATTCTGGTTGGTCTTCCGTACGTTATAATTACAGCCTGATTATAAACATAAAATTACATTTCTTAATTACTGCGGATCTTCTGATTAGTTAAAATGATACAATTTACAATGCGCTAAAAAGAAGATCTATCTCATAAGGAGACTTAGGAAACCCGATGTGGTTTTTAACTAATTTTATAATATTTTAACAACTTAAATGTAAAAATCTATTAAAATAAAAAATAACAAATAATTGTATTAAAAATTCATTTTTCATTGAAAAAATTTTTTGCTTTCAGAAAACATTGTCCATATTCATAAAGACAAGTAAAAGCAAATAAAAGCATTTGAAATTAAATAATATCTTTGTTTTATTGAGTTTTGTATGTTAAAATTCAGAGCTGATTTTCAGTTAGGGGTGGTCCAATTAAAAACAAAAAAAAAACATGATTTGCATTCCTTAAAGCCTTGTACGTTTAACTATTGTAATTACTAAAGTGGACTCGATCGAATTTCTAGAGTTTTCATAAAATTATTGGGAGGGGGTAATAAATAAAAAGAAAAAACATATTTATAATAATTTCGATCATCTGAGAAAAAGTTTCTGAAACTTT